TTCATTACCTTGCCCGTGTTGACTCACATAAAATTATACACTATGACTTCTATGTGTGAATCAGGGTTCTCCTCATCATGTGAAACCAAGTCATAATACAGAAATAAGCTGAGTACAAATGGCCATTCCTAACCCTCTCCTTCAAATTTTACATTCAGTAAAACAGCGTACTAGTCTCAGTAGTTCACTTAATAATAAAAGATGCTATAAATTTTAATTTAAAATACATATCAAATGAGATGCCACTTATATGTGTTTTACTCTGCGTATAAAACACATAGACAATCTCTACATAAAACATATATTGGGACTCCATCTAAGATTTTATTAGAAAAAGGGTCCGAGATGCAAGAAAGAAAAAAAACTGTTGATTATCACTGGCTTAAGAATATAATTGAAGTTTAGGGATTTGATGGTGTATGAGGCAGGGTTAAATGTTATTCAACAGCTTATTAAGTGCCTTTTATATAGGAAACATTGTGTTAGACACTTAGGGAAAATACAGAGAAAATAGGACAGTTTGATATGCAGTGCTATTTATAGCCCTTCAATAGGTAACACATTACTATACTATTCACTGTTTTGAAACTTACAACATTAATCAAAGCTTATTGTATTATGAACTACAAGATTGCTACAATTAAAGTTTTTGGGAGAATTCAAAGAAAAGATCAATGATTTCAGGAAGAGTCAGCCTTTGATCTGGACTTCCAAGTTGGATAAAGAAAGTTGGGTAAAGACAAGGGGGAAAGAAAAGGGGTTCCTACCTGACTGAGGATGAGCAAATAGGGGTGGTAGGAAACCCTGAGGACTATTTGGGGAATGGAAAATAGTTGAGTTGACTAGAGTGTTAGGTTCCCTTTGGTGGGAGGGAGGGCAGGTTCAAGAGAGAGCTACAAAGAATGTCACATGACAGACTAAGGGGTCAGGCCTTTCTTATCCAGTAGGCGATGGGGAGCCGCTTAGGGTTTTGAAGCATCGTTGTGACGTGCTCAGATTGTGATCTAGAAGCATTCTTCTGATGGTGGTTAAGATATTAGAGGGGAAAAAACCAGCTAGGGAGACCAGTGAGGA